TATTGAACAATCGATCGGAACTGCTCGGCTACTTACCTCATTATTTTATGCTAATTTATGTGAGAGCGCGCGTTTTTACCTTCGAGTACCTTTTGCATCGCATTGACCTTTTCGGAATTTATCATTGCTTACGTATCGAATGCCGAGTATCAAAACCAAATTACGATGTCAATTTCACGTCTACAAGGAAGATGTTTAATTGAAATTGAGGAGACAAGGAGCCGTGAGACGATAATTCTCTCTTTTGTTCCGCAAGTTCAATTTATTACTCCGTTATTCTTCCTTTCTAATTTAAAAGCGTATTTCTATTAAAATACACGTCGTGCGTTTGCGCTAAAAGATCACTCCCTTGACTCGAGGGGGTGCGTAATAAATCTTCAAGTTTTGCGCGCGCGCGAATACATTTTGTATTGTAATTATTTGTAATTTTTACGTAAATATCTATTGCGGGAAATTACAACAAATTAATCGCTGTTAATTGCTCCAACCGCTTCTCGTTCAATAATATTATTTTAATGCGCAAATTGACTGGCGAACGCAATTAATCATCTCGACATGTCGAGTGTCCAAAATGGATTTTCCCGGTCGAGTGCAATAGACTCTCGAATCTCGAGTGCCTGTTTTTGTTAATGTTCTGCGCACCATTAAAAGGGTTTCGGAGGTGCCGGGGCCGCTAAAACTGCGCGCCGGTGAAAGTAGAGGGGAAAAAAAGGCAAAAAAGAAATGTGTCTCGAAGTTAAGTTGCGGTCCCTTCCGCCTCGCGCCTCGCCACGTTTTTGGTATCCACGAATTGCTGACGGAGCATATTGCGCGCCGCAACCCTCGTTTTAGGCCCGTATTTATTTATATGGTAGTCACCCGTATTTCGTTTTATAGATCTATATATACCAAGCATGCCAAACTTTTATTAAATCTCCTAAATCGCGGTAACATCAATTTGACCTTGCGTAAAAATCGGTTGAAAAATGCAATATTCTGTCACGCCGCGCCGTATCGCCTCTCACTATTAACTTCGGAATTTTTGTTTCTTTTTCTCTAGCAAAAACGCGCGATCGTTAAATACAGTAGTATCTACCGTGGGACGAAAGTTCGAATCGACAATAATTAATTTTCGATGAAAAAGAAATCTGTACATTCTGGCGACAAACCGAGAGAGAGAGAAAGAGAGAGAGGAGAGTTAAAGCTTAAGATTGGAAATGTAGTTGGACTTGTGTCTTTCGTATCAGCCAATTAAAGCAGGTAGTTAGCGACGCGATCAGATAATCCTAAACCTCGTGGTGGAAAATCGATGCTGGTGGTGATGCAGATTATGCAACGAGATCGTTGTAATTAGCGTTCTGTGGATGAATAAAATTAACAGAGTTAAGCAACTGGAGCGTGTTTTTCGGATTCCCGGAATATATACGCTTCCAACGTATATATTTCGCGATAACGATCACAGCGATAACACAATAGTCGTGAGACGACGTCTACGTATATGCGGTCTGACGTCACAGATTGAAAAGCGACAACGAAAGAGATGCTGTTTTTTCGTTTAGAAAATAATAATCGATAAAGAAAGGTTCATGAGAACGAACAGAGGCTACGGTCCGCTTGATGCTTCAAATGCTTTGGAGAATTTTTTGATTGGTCAATTAGTAAAAATTCTTTCTTCCGATTGGTCAATCAAATGCTTCGAAGGATCTGAAACGTCAAGTAGACCGCACCCAGAGATGAGATCTCGGAATTCGAGCAATTATGGGACAAAAGTATCCGGACTGTTCGGTGCACGGAAAGAACAATTTTGCTGAGTCCAGATCTGAAAATAATTTTTGTTCAATAATCAAAATAATTTTGTGCGAAAGTCAAAATGATCGCTAAAATATCAATACGTTTAATAGCAATGCTTATCAGTTTTAACATTCCAACAAATTATTTTGATGATTCAACAAAAAATTATTTTCAGATCCGTTTTCAGCAAAATTTTTAGACCTTTCAATAAAATCGTTCTTTCCGTATACGTTTAATTTTCTTCGCTCTAAAACCGCACCGACAAATGATTGTTGCGCAACTTTTACTTTTACTGTAATGTTTCGCAGGCATCATTAATTTCCAAGATCCCATTTAATTACGCAAACCTGTTGGACAACAGTTTAATGAAGTTTGCTCTGCGGTTATTTCATTTAATTCTATTCACCCTCTGTAATCCCGTGGCGGGAAGAACTCTCACAATGAGGACGTTTTGAGCTGTGATAATTGCGTATATAGGTACATATTGCTGCAAAGTGAGCAGGATCGATATTTTTGCGCGAGATACCGTTGATATGCGAAATTTGTTCTGCACGCCGGAAATTAAACTCTTCAACCACGGTTTTATTTTTACCCGAATGTACCGTGAAATCTCTACGCTCGAAAAGCAATAATGTTTCCTACGTCTACATTTTAGGCAAAAATGGAAACTCTAAACATACTCTCAAATTAATAATATTGAAGTGAAAAAAAAATAAATTTACGTGTATATATATATATATATATATACGTAAATTTATTTTTTTTTCACTTCAATATTATTAATTTGTATATATATACATATATACACATTATTGATCAAATTTTTTACGAGGTAAAGATAAATCCTTTTTGATCGTCGAAAAGAGGAAATTGCAACGCTGCAATATATAGTATACACATTTTGAGAACTGAACAAGTTTTCGAGTATTCGTAGCGATTCTCTTCACAATTCTCTTCGAAAGCTTTCGACCATATTGCGAAATAAAGCTGTTTCTATTTTTTTTCCCCCTCGATCGTTCCATTAGTTTTTCGCGGAAGACCGACTAAAAGATCTGCCGTGTATAAATGTGCGTTTAAGGAGAATGTATATACACACGCGTATATCTATATATGCCTGAAATATGTATATAATGTATCAGATATACTCATACATTTTGACCAGATTGATACATGCCCAAGACCCAAGAGAATGTGCTGATCAATAATTGTTACTCGGTTCAATGATGCAACTGGACTACACGTCCCGTGCGATGAAATGTCCCATATTATTAATAGACTGCTGATTGCATTAATGATAGAATGTCCGATAGTGCGTGCTATTTTTACAGCTGCATTAGCAAATATAATTTAGATTGTCTGTCTCGCACTATTGTTATTTTTACCTATTTCACTTCCAATGCCTCAGAAATCGTCCTGTCGTAATAATTAATCATGTTATTTGTAAATGTCATTTTTTTTATCACTTATATGATGCTTTATTTTATTTTGCGAAGAAGTATGATATACGGATATATCAGTATAATGATATACGAGGAATAGTATGTTTTTATTTATTTTATGAGAAAAATATTTATTGTTATTAGATTCTCATATATTTTGTTTTGCAATATTTTATAGTTTACATTAATATTATCTTATTAATTTGTTGTGTTAATTTGTTGTACAAATTTGTCATATCTTGTTTAAAAAAAGATTTTCTTAGTTTTCATCGGACTTTTCGTCGACAAAGGAAATTAAGTATTTATCGGATTATATAGATAAACAATTAGTCTACAAAAGTAATTTGTCACATATAAAATGTAAAAAATATATTTTTATATTTTTTAAAAGATTATATTTTTTTAAATATAATATTTTCCATATATGAAACTGGAGCACGCGCGCGTAAGTTCGTACAGCTATATGAAATAGTGAAGTGTAATATAAACACTATAATATATAACATTTTAAAATTTTTCGCAAGTTATGAAAAATCAACTTGTGATTTACTGATTTAGATATATTTAATAAAAAAGATTTGAAAAGAAAAATAATTGAGATGTTTTTGAAACATTAAAACGTGTTTTATATTTTCATCTTTCATTTCTTTAGATAGCTTTGCTTATGATATCTTGGAAATATATATATCGCAGACATTGTTAGGAAAGCTGCGGGATTTCAATCAAGCGTTGGTTGCATCGCGGTCGTGATGTCACCGTTATTCGGTTTAGCTGTAACTGCTATAGCAGTTATCATTCAGTAAAGTTTCGTTGTGCTTTAAGAGTACTTTCTCGTTGATGTACAGCAATGTCATATTTGATTCGGGAAATGGTTTGACGTAAATATTGCGGTAAAAGTTACGCGCATAAATTGTGCGATTGCAAAATTTTTATGTAATTGTATTACGAAACCACATATTTGCCACGGTATGTATCGCAACGTGACAGTTTTTCCGACACACATGTGTATCTAAAAAATATTGACGAAAAAAACAATATTTTAAAATTCGAGTGCTTTATTACAGTTTATTACTTTTCAATTTTTTTTTTACTTGTAGGAAGGGAGAAATTTGATCTTTTACGTCGCTAAAGTCCATTAATCATTACCGGGGAAATGTATGATTTATTATTGACTCATACTACTTGTTTTGTCTGGCGGCCCGAATAAGAGTGGAGGAATCAATCAATTAAAGATGTGTACGCACAGCTATTGTCGTTCTTACCAGACAAACAACGTTAGGCGAAACAATGGCAAAAGTGATTATTGCTAATTATTATATAATATTATTGCTCTCATATTGAAACGTGAAAGCTTTGTGCATACAAATGTATCTACTTTAAAAAATTAGCAGCCTTACTAAATTATTCGTTTACGAGCCTGTAAAAAGCAAAGTTTAAGATGTTATACATTGAAGCAGGGTGAAAAACTCAATTTTCTAAATTGGAAAAAAAACGAATTTAAAATTTTATCTTATACGTTAAAGAAATCGGTATAAGAAAAAGTTAAAATTTTTTAATATCATTTCATGTTACAATAAATATACGAAGATTAGCTTATACATGAAGATTTTTCTAAAATATCTAAAAAAAAAATATTTAAAGAGAGAAAGCGTGCCCAAAGATTCATATTCTGTTCAACTAAATGCACGGAGAACAGCGCACGTAGAAAATTTAATTTTCATTCATTTTGGCGTATACCTGCCACTAATTCCGTTCGCAAGCATTCAAGGCGATAAATCGCGATGTACTCACTATGGTGTAAATGGCACAGGCGTAGCTGCCTCTGCGTACGGACTGCCAGCAGCAACAGGACTGCATGATAGCCATGCTGCGAGCACATGGATCTTATCTCGCGAAATTCGGAAACGGGCGGTAATCCGACCGTTTGTCTCGCGCGGTTGGAGACGCGAAAATTCTCCCGCCGCGCCGGCGGAATTTCAACGGGCGCAGCTTCTTACGTCGCGGTCGATCGAAAGTTGTAAACGGGGAGCATCATTGCGCCGCGCGGGAGGCTCGGATGCGAAGTCGAGATAGGAGCAACGAGATCGCGCGGGAACGGCTCGGCGCCGACTGCCGGGTGCGTTCCTCTCTCGCGAAATTCCCTCCTCTGGAGTTATCTCGCCGCGCAAAAAGCCCACCGGCGGTGACGCCTGCGCAATTGTCTATAATAACCCATCGCCTATATATGTGTGTGTACGCGCGTGTATATATACTTTCTTATATATTATACACATGTATACACATAGGACACTTTTGTAGCCGCGAACACGATCCGTTGACACGTATTGTATTACCAGAAAGAAAAACGCAGAATTGAGTCGCGGAAAAGTGAGGTACTCGAGATACGCGGGCGGAACGTTCTCTGTTTCTCTCCCTCCTACTGGCAATGGGAAAACTTATTTGCGTAACAAGGTTTCCATCGAGGGCCGTCTAAGATTTTTATAATTATTTTTATAATTATTCGCAACTCGCTGTCGAGTATTTTAGTTATTTTAACGGATCCGGTGTATGCATTGCTGCGAGCCACACAATTATTTCGCTCTTTTCACGAAAACAAAAGTAAATAAAAAAAAGGATTTATTTTATAATTATTTTAAAAGGCAGCAACGTTTAGTGATGCAATTCAGATACGTGCGTTAACATGTGTATTTTTAATCGTGTTCTAAAACGTATTGTTTTTTTTTATCGCGCTTCAAATACGATTTTCATAATTAGCGCGTATTGCAGAAACGATATTTTCTTCATTATAAAGTTTATAACAATTGCCAGTAGTTTTGAATTGTGCCGAACTAAAATAACTTTGTTGAAACGATTCGTTGATATTACGAGGTCGAGAGATGAGCATCGATCTTTATGGTGCGCAGCTTGTTTGCACAATTATTATTTTATGGGGAGGTCAACGCTTCTTCATATTACCACTCTAAAGTTTCATAACGTTGCACCTCGTGATCAAAGGTACAATACCCCCTGCTTAGGATACAATCACGTTTTTGTATTATCGCGGATTTTTTTTTTGAACTGTATATCATTCCACGAAAAATACTTTGTGAACAAAGACAAAGATATAGGTTCCATTATACATTTTATTAAATCAATACACACAAGAAAGCTATTATTCCTATTGTTCTCGTATTGAATTTGCGTTTAACTCTCATCGCACATTTTAATTGCATTAAAGATCTTGGAGCTTAATTTCCTGTCATTGGGAACTAATTAAATCTTGAAAAAGGCATTTATCGAAATTTATTAGATAATTAAATCCGATGATTACTCATAAATAAATTTTCATCGAATTTAACATTTTTTTAACTGCATGAGAATTCATTTTTATCTGCGATGTTTTTTGTACGTATATTTTGTACGGATATTTTGCATGCCCTATGGATTATTTATTAATTTTTATCTGTTTACGGGCACGAAATAAACTTGAATTAACACAGGTTAGCTTTGGAATATAAAAAAAATGAATTAAAATTTTATTCCTCTATCTCTCAATTATCATCGATCCGCTGCATAATTTATTGAGTTTCTACTAACAGTGTTATTATTATTCTGAATATCGAGTGTAATTATATCAATTATATTACTCCTTCAGATTGTCCGTATATAGTTCTTAATTGTTGTTGACATTTTCCATTATTTTAATACAATTTCTATTATTAGCCCGCGTGAAAATTGTTACCTACACATATCACCGTCTAAGTTTAATTTAAATGATGTTATAACCTCATGTTATAAATGATTGCACAAATGAAAATTACAAAATTTACATAACACGTTGGGTACAAAGTCCGATATTATTTTAAATAATGCACGCATTAATTGCATGTTGCGCCAGTGTGCAGTGTATAATTCATAAATTCATTCAATCTGCGATTTCGAGGGATTTTATATGAGCAAATACGTGAATTATTGTAGGAAATGACGCAAAGCGCATCAGCGCTCATTGAGAATTCAAAATCAAAGAGAAGCGAGATTTGTCTACGTCAAATCTTGGGGAACTAGACTCCGGATTCTGCATTCTCAAAGACGTGGATAGAATTATGAAGTCGACGAAGGATATAATTTCGCGGAGGCGGAATTCGATATTTGACGGAGAATCTAATGAATAAACAAGATGTAGATGCGTCGATGCATAAACTTTCTCTCCCTCCCTCCCTCCCTCCGCCTCCCGCCTCTCTCTTTCTCTCTGCGTGACGTGTATATCTTTCGGCTCTGTAATAAGGTATCGAGAGCAACTTTACAGCGGTAACTTTTTGAGCACATAGATCCTTCCATTGCGCGAAAAGTACCAGGAGGATAGGCGCGCTCGGCAAATGGATTAAAACTTGTGCATAATGAAGTTAGAGTAGCGAACTATTTCGTTCTAGCTAGCGGCAAAAGTGCTGTGACTCTTTTTGACGCTCGAGGTATATCCCAAGATAGGAAATCGTTATTTTATTTGCGAAGCGGGTAAAATGTGGCTTAAACCCTCGGAAAAGAATTTCGGAATAGAAGACGGAAAGGCGGAGGAAACGAAATCGCGCGGTTTCACTTCGCGAAATTGGAAACGTTACGAAATCGTATCGATTATCCGCGATTATCCTGCCCGAACATTTCCGAGTGAATCTTTGTGAACGCTTTATCGATCTGCGTCCGTATATAGCTCTCTTGATTCTGAATTATGCCGGCTACGCAACATCAGGGAGACGCGGATAGATGGAAATCCGCGGTGTAAAACTGGAGCTGACACAGTTTTTACACATCAAAGGGCAACACCCACATGCTTTGTAATTTAGAGGCGTTTGAACAAAGTCAGGAAATTATGGACAACGAACAATTAGTTAATTACAATCTATATCGATCACCCATGTACTGATGCTAGTACATTAAAGTGTAATCAAAGTGCACGCATGTAAATTGCTCTACTAATCGATATTTTCATTATTTTAAATATGTATTTGTGCGAAAATTGTTATATAATTTTCTTCAAATTACAAAGATTTAATAGTAATTTCAACGATGAAAGAAAAATGCTGAAATTAAAAATTTTAAAAGGCTTTTCCTGTAAAGCCACACGTATTCTCAAATACTTTTTAAAAGCTTTTTCTACGCCATTAGTTTTTTTTTAAAGACATAATCTTTTTTTTTTTTTTTTTTTGAGAAAAAAAATATTACGTTATTAATTGCGCTTTTTATATTTATTTCTTGAAAATATCAAAATAATTGAGTATGTACCTATAATATATATTTTTATATATATTGTATTATAATAATCTATCTTTTAATATTTAAGTATTATTTTATGTTACCCTAAATTACATGGAACCATGGAGAATTCGCAATATTTGCATGCATACAATATTATCAGTATCTTCCTTACTTTACTTACTTTTATACACAAATATAAGAGTGCGAGATGAAACTAAAATATGGAATACCGAGATCGTGTGTTCACGATTTTGTACTTTTCCTCGGAAGAATATAGAAATTTCGAATGTACAATGCTTTCATATCATTCATCTGCGTAACACTGAAAATACATATAAAAGCTATAAATGTAATAGAAATAATTTCGCAGATATCTTCTAGAGGATTAAAAACATAATAGGGATTACAGTCTCATCTTTCTCTTTGATGTTACGAATCAGAAAGCAGTATTAATATGCGTGAAACTAAGCTCGGAAGATTTACTTCGTAAGGCACAAGGTAGGACATGTGCTATTCAAAATTCCATGCTGTAGCGTGTCTGCATGTGTTTGTGATGTCGTAAGCCTTTGTATCCCTTACACATACGCGCATATATATCAAATAAGAAAAGCTGGTTGAATCTGTTTTGTTCGGCGTAGCCTCAGAGATTACGTTCTCCTGATGGAAAAATACATTGCCAGCGTCAATACTGTATTATACATGCCGTGTAGGCTTTTAAAAATTCTGACCGTGCCAAGGTTGTGAGAGACACGTGCGTACCGTAAATCCACTGTATGAAAAACGAGGTATCCAATTTTAAACTAGCTATATTTCTCTGTTCTCAGTTTGATGCATCGTATGTATCATCTCCTTATTTATTTTTATTTTAGCACATAGAGCGGATAGTGAAGTAGTTACTTTCAAGACAACTATTCTCAAGAAGTATAAAAAAGGCACAAGCAGTAATGGTACTCTTTTATTCGGAGAAACAGCGATATGTCTCGGGGAGAACTAATATTATGACACGGAAAGAGCTTTTAGAAATATGAGAGAATATTCGTCGCTTTTACTAGCAGTTTTTTTTTAAGATAGCTAAGTTTTTATTTTTCGCGTTTTTTATTTAATTTTAAAATGGCAATTAAATCTATGCAATTTGAAGAGAGATTACGACAATTTTCGTTTAATGCCATTTATTATATAATTAATATAACGGCCAAGATTTTTGTTGCCATAATTGAAAGCTAATAAACGGATTTTTATTACAACGCGGCTCCTTGAATATAAATTTTCCTATTGCATAATGATTTATGGATTTTTTTTACAAAATAAATATTTTAATAAAAACTTTCCTTTCCAGTACTCTTTTTTCTCTGTTCTTTTTTTGTCTTTGATAGTCTTGAACAAGGTATTGAGCTCTATTCAAAATAAATGAACTACATTTCTCAGTGTCGCATCCTGTACCACAGTCTGTATAGCTTTCTTCATGTTCTCATTATTTACATCGTTTTCTTTTATTTTTCTCGCTTATGTTAGGTTAGGTATGTTAGATACTATATTAAAACTTGGTAAAAACTAAAAAGAATAAAAAGAAAATATAATACTTTTCATAAATAATTTACATTTAAAAGAGTACCATATCTGCAATTGTGGCTAATTATATTTTTCTCAAGAGTAAGAATAAACTTTTACAATTGTTATTGAGCAGAGAGACAGCCTCTTAAATAACACGTATGTCTTATTTTAGTCGTGCTTTATTATGTTCTCTGGATATAATACATAAGTTTCCCTGACAGTTTATAGTTGTCGTGGTAGAACTCAATTTTCTAAAGAAATTGACTCATTACTCTTTCAACGATGACCGATTCAGTTACCGGCGAAAATATATCTATGCCGGATCGTT